GATGCTGATGATGCTAGTGATGATTATGCTTCTGCTGATGGGTATGATGATAATGCGGACGACGATGCTGATGATATGATATGATGAGGGTGAAGATGCTGACGATGATGATGAGGATGGTGATGATGAGTATGATGATGATGACGATGATGAGGCTGATGATGCTGATGATGCTGATGCTGCTGATGCTGTTGCTGCTGATGATGATGGTGGTGATGATGCTGATACTGCTGATGATGATGATGCTGATGCTGATGATGGATGATGATGCTGATGAGGATGAGGATGAGGATGAGGATGAGGATGATGATGAGGAGGAGGAGGAGGAGGATGATGATGATGATGATGACGATGGTGATGATGAGGATGGGGATGGTGCTGCTGATGCTGATGCTGATGCTGATGCTGAGGCTGATGACGATGAGATGCGGAGGACGAGGGAGATGAGGAGAAGGAGGAGGCGGAAGATGAGAAGGGGGAGGAGGCGGAGAAGGAGGAGGAGGAGGAGGAGCAGGAGGAGGCGGAGAAGGAGGAGGATGAGGAGGGAGGAGGAACAGGGACGAGGGAGGATGAGGGAGGAGGATGACGAGGAGGAGGAGGAGGTGGAGGAGGAGGAGGAGGAGGAGGGGTGATGATGATCCTAATCCTCCTCCTCCTCTTCATCCTCCTCATCATTATCATCATCACCCCTCCTCCTGCGAAGTGGTACGAGCGCAGGAGGAGGGGTGATGATGATAATGATGAGGAGAATGACGAGGATGAGGAGGATTAGGATGAGGTGGAGGAGGAGGACGAGGCGGATGAGGCGAAATACTGAGAGGACGAGGAGGAGGACGAGGAGAAAGAGCACGATGAGCAACACGATGGTGATGATGATAAGGTTGACAACGATGAAAATGATGCTGATGAGGATGATGATGCTGATAATGATGATGCTGATGATTCTGATGCTGATGATGACGATGCTGATGCTGCTGCTGCTGATGATGAAGATGCTGCTGATGGTGCTGAAGTTGTCGACGATTGTGATAATGATGCTGCTGCTGATGATGCTGATGATGCTGATGCTGATGCTAATGCTGATGTTGATGATGCTGATGATGCTGCTGATGCCGGTGCTGATGCCGAGTATGATGACGATGATGATGATGCGGCTGATGATGATGAGGATGATGCTGATGCTGATGCTGATGCTGACGATGTTGATGCTGCTGATGATGATGCTGTTGCTGATGCTGACGATGACTATGCTGTCGCTGCTGGTGCTGATGTTGCTGGTGGTGATGATGATGATGATGCTGATGCTGCTGATGATGGCGACGATGCTGCTGCTGATGATGATGCTGATGCTGCTGCTAAAGATGCTGATGACGATGACGATGACGATGAGGATGATGCTGATGATGAATATGATGGTCATGTTGGGGATGATAATGATGATGCTGATGATGCTGATGATGCTGATGATGAATATGATGATGATGATGATGATGATGATGATGATGATGATGATGATGATGCTGATGATGATGATGATGATGATGCTGATGCGTTGATGACGATGCTCATGATGATGGTAATAAACGGTGATGCTGATGATGGTGATGCTGATGATGCTGATGATAGTGATGCTGATGCTGCCCATAATGATGCTGATGATGATGAGGATCAAGACGAGGATGATGTTGAAGATGTTGATGCTGATAACGATTCTGTTGATTCTGATGATGGTGATGCTGATGATGCTGACGATGGTGATGCTGATGCTGAGGCTGATGATGACGATGATGATGATGATGATGATGATGATGATGATGATGATGCTGATGATGATGCTGCTGATGATGATGATGATGATGCTGGTGATGATGATGATGGTGATGATGTTGTTGATGTTGATGATGCAGATGATACTAATGACGGTGATGCTGGTGATGATGATGCTGATGATGATGATTGTGATTGTGCTGATTATGCTAATGCTGATGCTGATGCTGATGCTGATGATGATGATGATGATGATGATGGCGATGCTGATGTTTATCATGATGCTGCTGCTGATGATGATGCTGATGCTGCTGCTGATGATGGTGATGGTGATGATGATGCTGCTGCTGATGTTGGTGATGCTGTTGCTGTTGCTGATGATGATGATGATGATGATGATGATGATGATGATGATGATGATGATGATGATGAAACTGATGATGAGGAGGAGGATGAGGAGGAGGAGGGGGAGGAGAAGGAGGGCTTCGAGGAGGACGAGGACCAGGATGAGCAACACCAGAAGCAGGATAACAGTACGTTGGTGAATCATCCTTCTCCTTGTACCGCCCTCCGTTCTCTCGCGGTCGCCCAGCCGTCCTACTTGTGAAGGCGTGCTCACACGCCTGGCTCCAGTGGGGGCAGCGGCCGCATGTGCAGGATGAGCAGCGAGAGGAACACGAGGAACACGATGAGGAGCAGCAGCAGAAGCAGGAACAGGGGAAAGGGGGCAGACCAAGCAGCATCATGATGGATGATGGATGATGATGATGATGATTATGATGATGATTCTGATGATGATGATGATGATGATGATGATGATGATGATGATGATGATGATGGTGATGCTGACTATGATGATTATGATGATGACGGGGATCATGATGATGATGCTGATGCTGATTATGATGATCATGATGATGCTGCTGATGCTGCTGCTGATGATGATAATTCTGATGATGATGATGATGATTATGATGATGATAAGTATGATGATGCTGATGCTGTTGATGCCGATGATGATGCTGATGATGATGCCGATGATGATCATAATGATGATGATGCTGTTGATGATGATGATGATGATGCTGATGCTGTTGATGATTATGATGATGATTATGATGAAGAGCAGCAGCAGAAGCAGGAACAGGGGAAGGGGGCAGACCAAGCAGCATCATGATGGATGATGATGATGATGATGATGATGATGATGATGATGATGATGATGATGATGATGATGATGGTGATGGTGATGGTGATGGTGATGGTGATGGTGATGGTGATGGTGATGATGACGGGGATGATGATGATGATGATGATGATGATGCTGATGATGATGATGGTCATGATGATGATGCTGATTATGATGATTTTTCGGATGATGCTGCTGATGATGCTGCTGCTGCTGATGATGATGATGATTCTGATGATGATGATGATGATGATGATGATGATGATGATGATGATGCTGATTATGATTATGATAAGTATGCTGATGCTGTTGATGCTGTTGATGCTGATGATGCTGATGATGATGCCGATGCTGGTAATGATGATGATGATGCTGTTGTTGATGATGATGATAATGATGATGATACTTGTGCTGATGATGCCGATGATGATGACGAATAAGAAGAACATAATAATAATAGTAATCATAATAGTAATAGTAATAGTAATAATACTAATAATAATACTAATAATAATATTGATAATAGTAGTAGTAATAATAACAATAATAATAATGATCGTAGTAATATTAATAATAATAATAATAATATGTTGATGCTGCTGATGATGACGATGATGATCACGACGATGATGCTGCTGCTGCTGATGATGATGATGATGATGATGATGCTGATGATGGTATCGATGGTGATGCCGATGGCGATGGCGATGGCGATGGCGATGATGATGGCTTTGGTGATGACGATGGTTATGCTGCTGATGATACGTGTTGTGATTTATCTGTCAATGACATGGTGATGCTGTATTAGCAGCAGCAGGACGAGCAGCATGATAACAAAGAGGAGTGGAAGCAGCATGAGACGGAGCATGAGGAAGATCATGAGCAGGGTGAGCATCAGCAGCTTCCGCACAATGATGGGGCAGTGGCTGGGCGAGACTGGCGAGGGACGGCGCGGGACGTCGGAGTCGATCGCTCGGCGCCCGAGGCCCAGGTTAACCACTGCTCTTCTATTGGGGCCTGCCGCTCACTGCATCGGTGCAGCGGCGCTGGGCCCTGGTCACTCCAGGCCCCTTCCCCCCCGACTGGCCCCCTTCCCTCCCCGCTCCCCCTCCCTGCCTGTGGCGGTGCCCTGCCCGAGGCTCCGACAGAGTGGGCGGGTTGGTGGCTGCTGCGGAGGACGCGCGGGGCTGTTCCCCTCGCTCCTCTCCACGCGCGGCCCTGAGAGAGCCGGGCATCTTTCCCTCCCCTCCCTGGTCCTCCTCCTCCTCCTGCTCCTCCTCCTCCTCCTCCTCCTCCTCTCCACGCAACCCGAAGCCTCGACACCTCAGGAAGGGATCAATCAATCCTCCCGCTCTCCCCTGGGGCCGCTGTCCCCGGTGCTCCGGGAATGGCCGCCGAGGGCCCGCCGCCGTGCACACCACGCTCCCCTGGCGGGTGTCCCCGAGCTCGGCCCACTGAAGGGGTGCTACTGGCTGAGTCCACCGCCGGCGGTCTCCAGAGGTTGTGGGGCTACATGGGGGCGCTCGGCACCAAAGTATTTTATTATGTTATACCGTTCTTCGCCCGCTAATCGATCCTCGAGCGGGGCGGGGAGGGGCGCGGGGCGCGGGGCGCGGGGCGCGGGGCGCGGGGCGCGGGGCGAAGCGCCGCGGCGAGGCGGCGAGGCGCTGGACAGAAAAAGTTATGGCCTTGGACTGCTGTCTTTAGTGCGCATAAGCGTGCGCTGGCGTCTGGTAGTCGATGGGGAAGTGCAGATTTAGCGTCGAAAAGCGTCGATTTAGCGTCGACTAGCGTCGATTAGGCTCGATTCGCAAGAGCCAATAAGATGGCATGGGAGGCTCCCATGAGTTGCCGCAGAACTGCTGGCTCGGTCCACCACTGGCGGGCTCCAGAGGTCGTCGGGGCACATGGGGGGTGCCAGGTTGGGCCGACCCCCTCCGCCCACCCCCCTCTTCGAGGGCTGGAGGTGGTGAACGGTCTGACCGCGGGGGCCTGGTAGAGTACCCTCTCTGTCCCAGCCCTCTCCCGAACAATCCAGCACCAGGCGGTCAATCAGATGAGGGCCAACTTCGTGTGCCCGGAGCTGGAGGACGGCTTCACGGAGCTGGAGTGGCCAGAGCTGCCAGAAACAGAGGCGAGGCCCGCGCGGGCGAGCACGTCGCGGCGCCTCCTTCTCTCTCTATCACACCCGCTCTCTCTCTCTCTCGCTCTCTCTCTCTCTCTCGACGAAGAAGAAGAGGACGCAACAACTAACACTACTCAAACTCATAAGACAAATAATAATGGTAATGGTTACACGCATAGCCATACAGAAAGAGCGCCAGTGGATCACCTCGTAATTGAAGGGGGGGGGGGTGCTCCAAGACCCCCCCTCCCCTCCCCCCCTTCAAGGGGGGGGGACATTTATTTTCGGATCCCCCCCCTTCGAAGGGGGGTGGGTCTGGACCCCACCCCCCCTTTCCCCCTTTGAAAGGGGAGGGGGGTGGTTCTGGACGCCCCCCCCCTCCTTGGCGCTGGAGACGGGGGGGGCGATTTCGGACCCCCCCTCCCCCCTTTGGTCAGGCAAGGGGGTGGGGGCAGGTGGGGAGGCTCTCTTCGCTCCGGAGCGCTGGAGGCTGGGGTTAAGGTGGTGGTTAGGGTGGAGGTTAGGGTTAGGGTAGGAGTTAGGGTATCGTTTAGGGGTTAGGGTTAGGGCTTGGAGTTCATATAAGAGATTAGGGTTAGGGTTAGGGGTTAGGGTAGGGTTTCGGGTTTAGGGTTAGGGCATAGGGTTGGGGTTAGGGATTAGGGTCAGGGTTAGGGGTCAAGGTTAGGGTGAGGGTATTCGGGGTTAGGGGTTAGGGTTGAGGTCGGGGTTAGGGTTAGGGTAATGGGTTATGGGTTAGGGTTAGGATTTAGGGTCGGGGTAAGGGTTACGGTTTAGGGTTAGGGTATGGGTTAAGGGTAGGGGTTGGGGTTAGGGTAGGAGTTATTCTCTTGCACAGCTGTGCTCTAGAGCTCGGACATCTTTATTTTCGTCGTTCGTCGTGTCGTTCGTCCCCCTCGCCCCCCCCCTGTCCACGCTTCCCAGGGTAGCCCCCCTGGGCCACGGAACCCTTTATTTTCGTCGTTCGTCGTGTCGTTCGTCCCTCTCGCCCCCCCCGTCCCCCTCGCCCCCCCCCCTGTCCACGCTTCCCAGGGTACCCCTCGCCCCCCCCCCTGTCCACGCTTCCCAGGGTAGCCCCCCTGGGCCACGGAACCCTTTATTTTCGTCGTTCGTCGTGTCGTTCGTCCCCCTCGCCCCCCCCCGTCCCCCTCGCCCCTCCCCCTGTCCACGCTTCCCAGGGTACCCCTCGCCCCCCCCCCCTGTCCACGCTTCCCAGGGTAGCCCCCCTGGGCCACGGAACCCTTTATTTTCGTCGTTCGTCGTGTCGTTCGTCCCCCTCGCCCCCCCCCCCTGTCCACGCTTCCCAGGGTAGCCCCCCTGGGCCACGGAACCCTTTATTTTCGTCGTTCGTCGTGTCGTTCGTCCCCCTCGCCCCCCTCCCTTTCCACGCTTCCCAGCGTAGCCCCCCTGGGACACGGAACCCTTTATTTTCGTCGTTCGTCGTGTCGTTCGTCCCCCTGCCCCCCCCCTGTCCACGCTTCCCAGGGTAGCCCCACTGGGCCACTTTTATTTTCGTGTCGTGTCGTCTCGTGTCGTTCGTCCCCCTGCCCCCCCCCTCTGCCCCCCCCCCGCCCAGGCTTCCCAGGGCAGCCCCCCTGAGCCTCGGACACCTTTGTGCAAGAGCCAGGGCACGCGTGCCACTTGTTTTCGTGTCGTGTCGTGTCGTGTCGTTCGTCCCCCTGCCCCCCCCCTCTGCCCCCCCCCGCCCAGGCTTCCCAGGGCAGCCCCCCTGAGCCTCGGACACCTTTGTGCAAGAGCCAGGGCACGCGTGCCACTTGTTTCCCCAATCAGAGCTTGCCTCTGTAGGGGTCCTAGCGGATTCATATGGTTAGGTTAGGTTTGTCGCCGATTTTCGCTGCACGCCCGGGTGCCCGGGTGCCCGGGGGTGCCCAGGGGTGCCCTTGGCCCAGGTGCCCCGGGGGGTGCCCGGGGGTGCCCGGGTGCCTGGGTGCCTGGGTGCCCGGGCGTGCCCAGGGGTGCCCGGGGGTGCCCGGGGGTGCCTGGGGGGTGCCCGATATCCCTATAGCCCTAAGCCCTATAGCCCTACAGCCCTATAGCCCAATAGCCCAATAGCCCTATAACCCTACAACTCTATAGCCCTATAGCTCTATAGCCCTATAGCTCAATAGCCCTATAGCCCTACAGCCCCCTAGCCCTATAGCCCTGATTGGGTTTTTCTCCGGTATCATGTTGGGATTAGGGGTTAGGGTTAGGGTCCACTAGCCCAAACTTGCAGCCCACTTGACCGTGTCCCACCCACCCATGACCCAAGACATATTGATCTCGATGCGGTATCAACACGCGACTCGCAAAACGACGACGAGGACGACACCGATGACGACGACGTTGATATGGTTTTCAAAACGACGACGACGCGGCCGCGCAAAGACGGCGGGGCGGCCCCTGGGGAAGGGCACGGGGGCGGCTCTCAACCCGAAAGGGTCGAGGTCGCGCCCGTACCTTTCGCGAAGGACAGTACTGACGCCATGCCTGGCATACCGAGGCCATGAACGTCTGCCACGAGTCTGGGCGAGGGGAGTACCCTGCACTTTCGCAGGCTCTCCCAGAACGCCACTCCCGGTACTCCGGGAGTTTGCAGATCCTCCCAGAACGCCATTCATGGCGCTCCGAAGGCAAGGATCTGCATGAGGGGTGCGTCCTGGGATTTGCGGATCGGGCCAGAACGCCATTCCTGGCGTTCCGAGGCCAAGGATCTGCGTGAGGGGCGCACCCTGGGATTTGCAGATCCTCCCAGAACGCCATTCCTGGCGCTCCGAGGGCAAAGATCTGCGTGAGGGGTGCGCCAAAATGGGGGGGGGGCGGCCGAAGGGGGACTTAAGGGATTCTAGGATTAGAATTTTTATAGGCTCTTAGTTTTTAGGCTTAAGGTTAGGGGTCAGGGTTAGGGTTAGGGTTAGGGGTTAGGGGTGAGGGTTTAGGGTTGAGGTTAGGTTAGGTTCAGGGTAGGGGTTAGGGTTAGGATTAGGGGTTAGGTCCGAGGCAGGGTTTAGGGTAGGGGTTAAGATTAGGTGTTAGGGTGGGGGTTAGGGTAGAGGTTAAGGTTAGGGTAGGGGTGAGGGTAGGGTTGAGGGGTTAGGGTTAGGGCTTAGGGTTAATATTAGGTATTAGGGTTACGGTTAGGGGTTCGGGTAAAATTTAGGGGTTAGGGTTAGGGCGTAGGGTTGGGGTTCAGGGTTCGGGCCAGTGGTACGGGGTTAGGGGTTAGGTTAGGGGTATGGGGTAAGGGGTTAGGTTAGGGTTAGGGTTCAGGGTAGGGGTTAGGGTCAAGACTCCTTCCCCGCCCGCAAGCCGTCTCGCTCACTCCCACCCGCCCTCCCAACACATACGTAGCACCCGAGTCTGGCCCGAGCCTCAGCATATTCAGCAGTCGTCTTTGGATGGGCAGCTACTGGGGCGCATCCGCCGCCGCCGCCTCCGCCGCCGTCCCCGCCGCCCGCCGCCGCCGCCGCCGCCGCCGCCGCCGCCGCGCCGCCGCCGCCGCCCCGCCGCCGCCGCCGCCGCCGCCGCCGCCGCCGCCGCCGCCGCCCGCCGCCCGCTGCCGAATCGCCGCCGCCGCAGCCGCTGCCGCCGCAGCCGCTGCCGCCACCACTGCCGCCGCCTCCGCCGCCGCCGCCGCCGCCGCCGCCGCCGCCGCCGCCCCTGCCGCCGCCGTCGCCACCGCCGCCGCCGTCGCCGCAGCCGCCGCAGCCGCTGCCGCCGCCAAGTGTACGCTGCATTGTTTTTCGACAGGGATGGTGGGGGGAGGCCGCATCAGAGTGTGTGTTTGTATTGTTCTTTTGCAAGGGATGGTGGGGGTGTGCCCGCATTGTTCCTGGTTGGCTGCCAGTCGCCTGGGGGAGGGGGTGTATTTTCATATGGAGCAGTGATCAAGGTTAGGGGTTAGGGTAGGGGTTAGGGCAGGGCTGGGGGTTAGGATTCTGGTTTAAAGGGGTTGGATTAGAGCTTAGGGTAAGGGGTAGGGCTTAGGGTCACGGTTAGGGGTTTGAGTAGGGTTAGGGGTTAGGGTTAGGTCTTAGGGTTAGGGTCAGGGATTAGGACTAGGGTTAGGGGCCAGGGTTAGGGGTAAGGGGTAGGGTTCGGGTTAGGGGTAGGGGTTAGGGTTCGGATCAGGGGTTAGGGTAGGGGTTCGGGTTCGGGTAGGGGTTAAGGTTTAGGGTTAGGGCTTCGGGTAGGGGTTGGGTTGGGGATTAGGGTTTGAATTAGGGGTTAGGGTAGGGGTTTGGGTAGAGGTTAAGGTTAGGCGTAGGGTAGGGGTTAAGGTTAGGAGTGGGGGGTTGGGTTAGGGGTTAGGGGTTAGGGGTTAGGGTAGGGATTCGGTTGAGGGTTAGGTGTGGTAGGGCACGGTTCCGGAGCCAGGGGGCGGCGTGGCGAAAGGGGGGGAGGGGGGGGTCCGAATTTCACGCTCACAAGGGGGGGGGGTCGGACCCCCTTCCTTTGAAAAGGGGGGGGGGGGTCCGCTGGCGACGGATCGGGAAAGGGGGGGGGGTCCGCCGACGATGGAGCGGGAAAGGGGGGGGGTCCGCCGACGACGGATCGGGGAAAGGGGGGGGGGGTCCTGGACCCCCCCCTTTGGGCGATCCAGCGGCGCACCCTCGCAATAACAACGTTCAGAATACAAATGATAACACTTATAATAATACTGCGACGAATCGTCCTAACACACATCGTTGGATGATTACGGATAATGTTACTGATGGCAACAAGAAGGAGGCAAACACGTATAACATTGTCCATGCCAGTCATAGTCAAAATGAGGAAGACAAGCATCTGCATCAACATGAGCTTTCGGAGGTCCGAGTTCTCAGGTCGGCACTGGACCCCCCAGGCCGCGCCACTGGCACCGTCCCTGGCGCGCTCCTCGCGCGCCGGGGTGAGGGGCCCCGCTCCGATCCTCAGCTCCGTGCGGACCTTCCGCGTCGATTCAAGCGGCTCACGCTTTCCGCCGACACCCAGATCGTTTTTTATTCCTTGTTTTGCTGATCGGCGCGGACCCTCGCATCCCCCCCCCTCCCCCTTCTATGGAGCAGATCTTGGCTGTTTTTGGCGACTGTGTCGAGCAGAAATTGAGTCTCCCCCATAGGACGCACTGCTGCAAACAGGCGCATCGAGCAGAGGTCTGGAGCGAGACCCCCCCCCCATCCTCCCCCTTCGGTCCGATGTCGGAACGCCGAGTCAGAAAACGCTCACAAGCCAAAGCTTGCGACGATCGGGGAAGTCATGTAGTTGTCTTTGCCCGACGCGCCACCGTGCGTGGGCTTCGGGTCAGGAGTCGGCGGCGAGCGCGGGGGGGACGTGAGAGGGAGGAGGCCTCCTCAGAAGGCGGCGGGACTTCGCAGAAGCCCTCCAGCTTTCTCAGAGGTTTTTTTATGGCTTCGGGGAAGGCTTTGAAATCTTCTCAAAAGGCCCGAGGCCTTCCGAGCCTTCCGAGAGGGCCCACCCCTTCTCCCTTCCCTCCCCCGGGCTCGCTGCCGAAGGAGCCTCCTGGATGACTCCGAGGGTCTATGTCGCTTGTTTCTTGTACAGCTGGCACGAGGGTTAAGAGCATCCGTGGCTCTGGAGGGATACCCCCTTCTGCTCTCCATGCTCGGGTCTTCCACCTGGGGACGTGGTTCGTTCTGGGAATCTTCATGGGACCTTGGGTGCCTTGGCGAGGGGGCCCCATGCTCTTGATCTGCGCTCTCGTGACCGTGTTCCGACTGCACTCTCGCGCTCGCTGACCCACTCTCCGTCGCTCCGCGCTCCGCCGCCTCCGCCGCCTCCGCTGCCCGCCCCCCCCGCCTTGCGCCTCTCGGGGGCCTCTCTCTGCGGCTCTCCTGGCTCGTTGGGATGTTTTTGGCGCGTGTTGGGATCTTCTCGATGCTCTCGTGGGCTGTCTCGGCGTTCTCGGAGCATCTCCTCTCCCGAGGCCGTTCTGTGCCATCCTGGAGCCCTCTTGGGGCCTCCTCGGTCTGTCCTGAGACCGACTTTGAGTGCTCTTGTTCGTCTTGGGGCCCCCTCCAGCGCTCCCCAAGCCATCTTATGCAGACAGCTCTCATCAGCAGCAGCAGCAGTGTATAGCAACATGTCTTGTTGGCTTCCGGGAGGCAGTCTTGGAAAGTTCATTGGCCGCCTCGAGCCGTTTTGGGGCTGTCTTGGGGCCTTTTGGACTGAAGGCGAATCAATTTTGACACCCCTGCGCGATCTTGGAGTTCATCTGGAGCCATTCAGAACCATCTTCGAGCTGTACTTTGGCGAGCTTGGATTCCCGAGCCGTACAGGCACCACCCCAGGTGCCCCGCCCCCCCTTCCAAGCCTGCGGCAACGGCCTCTCGGGGAGATTTGGATTCAGCTGTTTATCCACAGGCCGTTTCCAAACGTCAATCGACCGACTGGCACGAGATCCTGACCAGTCTGGTTGCTGGCCCGAATGTTTGCTATTTCTATCTGTGCACTTTATCAGTGGTATCAGAAACCAAGCTTGCGTGCCCGAGCACGGCACGCAGAACCTCCCATGGAGTCAGCATGGGTGGGACACGCGGGACACAGTGGGTGTCTGGGCCCTCTCTTGAGCCTCCTCGGCACTGGCTCTTCCTCCCGATATCGCGCCGAGCTTCGCACATCACCAAACCTGACGAGGCCAATTCTGTGCCCCCTGGTGTACAGTCCCTGATGTGGCGTCAAGCAGGAACACTCGAAAACCAGGCGCGGATGAAACAGCCCGCGCAGCTGCAAGAATGCTAAGCAGCGCCAGAGGAAGGGAGGAGGAGGAGGAGGAGGAGGAGGAGGAGGAGGAGGAGGAGGAGGAGGAGGAGGAGGAGGAGGAGAGAGAAAGAGAGAGGGGGGACGGGGCAGCGGCAGGCGGGTTCAGGATTGGATGTGGCGTCCAGGAGGCTCAATGCACCATTCTTGGACCCCGCATGGGCCTGCTCGGGCCCCGCGGTGTGTGTGTCGGGGCGGCGGAAAGGGGGCATGCGGGATGCGAAGGGGTACGACATCTGTTGCTTTTGCAGCTGGCTTCGGCCCCGCCGTCGGGCGCCTTCCGGTTACACTGGCGCCACGAGGCGCCAGGAAAGCCAGCTCGCGCTCGCCCACCTCCTGACCCCTCCTTCCCCAGGGAAGAAAAGGCATCTGGACACGATGATTGGCGTTTGCTGAACAGCCCCGGCCTTGCACCGAACCGCCCTACCCTGTTCGATTCCTTCTTTGGGTGCGTGTACTAGACGGCTTCGGGTGGATTTTCGGCCCCTCTCTCGGCCGACTCGAGCCTGCACCGGCCCCGACGTCTGCCCTTCTCGGGCGCCGTCGGCCCGGGCCCGGAGAGCCCGAGGAGGCGCGCACGGGGCGCGAGGGGTCGCCCGAGTACGGTGGAGGCCCATGCCAGTAAACACCCTGCTTGCCTCCAGGGTGCCCTGGGTTTCTTGGCTTTCGGTGCCGTTGCCGTGCGAAGCGTGACGTTCCCATACCAAACATCGGTGGACGGTCCTGTGGTCCCAGGGTTGGGTTTCTGGTGGAGGGTTTCTTGTGGTCGGGCCCCTGCTGCATTCCAGAACGCCCGCTGACATTCCTCTCAATCGATCCCCCCCCCGGCCTGTGCAACTGCATGATGCCAGCCCTGTCCCCGCGCACGCCAGGCCAGAAAGCGGATCACCGAGATCAGGGAAGGCGGCACCGACTGGAGGGCACGCAACCCCGGGCAGAAAGGCGATGCTGTGGGCGGGGCCGTCGGCGTCGACGGCGTCGGCGTCGGCGTCGGCGTCGGCGTCGTCGTCGTCGTCGCTGTTGTCGTCGTCGATGCCGTCTTCGTTGTCGTCGTCGGTCACCGCCGCCAGCCGCCAGCCGCCGCCGCCGCCGCCGCCCCCTTTTGATTCGTTGTTGATTTCAGTCTCCACAGGCCGCTTCTCGTCCACGGTACAGGGTGCAGGTCAGGCCCCGGGGGCAGACGTCAAGCAGGTGCCACATCGGATCTACAGTCGGACCAAGGTATAAGATCGAGATCGGTTCGGTGAATCTTCTGTGCATCCTGGGGAAGAGTACCCTTGGGTGTTCTTTTCGTGTTGGGTGGCGGAGGGTCTCATGTTCTTGAAGGATGTTCTTCTGGCCTTCCGTAGCTTTTTGTTCAAGTTCGGCGCATTACTGTCGCTCTTCACGTGTATACATACCATCGTTTGAGACCAGACCTGCGTAGTTGCTTCTCACTCGGACCTCAGGCAGTTGGGATGGTGGCGACCAGGAATGCACCATGAATCGTGTACGTGTCGCTACTGGTTCAGGGCGTATCGAACGCGACTTCCATGATGGTGAGCGAAGGCATCCATCGCGACATCGACCCGTACAACGCCTCGCGCACTAGTGACAGTATGAAGGAAGTGCGTGAAGTGCAGGAAGTGAGCGGGTTGCCCGCGCAGCGTTTAATTGGTTCTCTATCTTACAGCCTTGGAGGAGTCAGCCATTGTTGCGCTTGCGGTTGGAATAGTTGGTGGATTTCGGCGACAATTACCGAGCAAATCACGACGATCAGAGTTAGTGGCTATTGGAGAGACCAGGGATGGGGGTACAAAGGCTACATCCGTGCTGTGGTGGGGTCGGAGTCGTACACCCATGGTGGGGCACCTCATTCCAGATCGTGGTTTACGTTCACCTGGACATTGCCCGCTCCTGCGACACCTGGCAGTCAAATAGCGATCTCCTACAACGTTGGGCATGGAGGCGGGTACTGTCTTTACGACGATTTTGGCGCGACCCTGAGTGTGACCACCGCGACGCCCAGCCCGACGCCCTACCCGACGCCCTATCCGACGCCCTACCCGACGCCAAACCCGAAGCCGAATCCGACGCCTTACCCGATGCCTGACCCGACGCCTTTCCCGACGCCCTACTGCCGTTCCCGACGCCGTTCCCGACGCCGTTCCCGACGCCGTTTCCGACGCCGTTCCCGACGCCGTTCCCGACGCCCCACCCGACGCCCTGCCCGACTTCGTTCCCGACGCCCTACCCGACAGCGTTCCCGACGCCGTTCCCGACGCCCTACCCGACGTCTTTCCCGATGCCGTTTCCGACGCCCTTCCCGACGGCTTTCCGACGCCGTTTCTGACAGTTTTCTGGACGCCCTTGCCAACGGGCTTCCCAACGCCCAGCCCGACCCCCAGCCCGACTTCTCCTGCGGGCTGGCCGACGCCACATCCGACGTTTCCTCCTGGAGCTCCCATGGCGGGTGGAGCTGGCGCAGGCGTGGCTGCCATTGGCTACCCCCACCCTCAGAACGTTCTTGGCCGGCGGTTCGACTTGATGAAACCAGGAAAGCACGTTCTGGTTAACATCCCCCGTGGAAGGCGTCCCAGTGCAATGCTTCGCGTGGAGGCTGTGGCGCGTCCGTTTGCAGGGCAGTGCGCAGACATGGATTTCCGCGAGCTGAATATCACGGGTGCCAACGCTCTGCTCTGCGGGTCGTCCTCCCCTGCAGCGCCCGGGCGAGCCACGCGTTTAAACGCCCGCAGGCCCGCCGGCCGTGGTCCCTCCCGTCGGAGGCTTGACCCCCGCCAGCCCCCCGACTGGACAGCAGGGGCCCAGTAATTTCCCTTGCGGCCGCGCGCCTCGTTTCACGATCGACGTGTCCGACGATCCCTGCACCCATGGCCCCTATTACGACAGGGATGCGCGCCACCCCAGCTCCGCGCCCGCCGCTCCCGTGGCCAGCGCTTCCCGAGGGCGCTCGCGATATCTCTGGCCGTGTGCGCGCTTGGCGCCCGTGCGAGGACTGCGGGATACTCGCCTGGCTCACCTGCCCGTGGTGCCGCATCTCCTGTATCCCCCTCAGCCAGGCGGGCCCCGTACTTAGCGGCTGCTGCTGCAAAGAAGGACCTTGCCATCAGTGTCACGCCTGGACATGGACCCCGCCCCA